GCTCCTCACGATCAACTATAATTATTTGAAAAATCTAATCCTGTGGTAGTAAAGATAATGTTATTTTTTACTGATTCGAGAAATTGATGTATTGATGGCATACCCATGATACATTTTATACGTAATTAAATTTTTCAATTAACAGGTTTACAATAGGCCGCCATTTTCTAATTTCGTGATCAGACTTATCGTACAATAAAAAAGGCTATTCTATCACACGTGCGCGCCACGTGCACGGTCACTATAGCATTATGATACGTTCCAAACGAAAAAGTTGTCTGGGCGCGCGGTGGGCTAGTTTAAGGCAATATTTCATAAAAAATCATAAAAACACCCCTTATATTGCTCAAAATGATGATATTTCTTGAAGGCTGAGTAAATAAGAAGGCATTTTCATGAATTTTTATAAAATATAATCTTAAACTAGCGTGCTACAACCCCGGAAAACTTTTACTTTTGGAACGTTCCATAGTGCTAAAGTTACTGCACGCCGCGCGCGCGATCGTTATGGAATAGCCTCAAAAGTATACTGAAGTCTATAAAATATTCGATTTTCATTTAGTTTTGCACATTGAAACATGTATTATCACGCATTTTTTTTGCGTTTTTTAGCTTTCTCGCTTGTTTAAACAACATAACAGAATTTACAATTTTTTTGAAAACCTTATCTTTATGTAAAATAATCAGATAAACAACTTTTGTGTTCTACATTTTGCTGCAAAACCAAAACTTTCCGAGATATTTAATAAAAACTGAAAAAAAGTCATTTTTCAAGTTATTTTGCTATAAAAAACGATGATGCGTATCTCTGTTGAGGTTGACGATTAAGGGTGTTACTCTACCTATTTTTATTCAAATTTCAAGGTTAATATCGTATTATTATAAAGAACCACCACCCTCTAATGCTCTGGCGCTCTGATTATAAGGATTCGATAAAAGTTAGAGGGTTGGTGCATAAAGTGCGCAGGGTGAAGGTCCCTGTAACAAATAAATGAAAAATAAAATGAAATTCTTAGATCTCAATGTAACTTTTGACTCTGTTAAAGAAAATTGTATAAAAAAAGTTCTCAGAAAGTATAATTATAGTCAGTGGTTTAAGTAATGCAGACTTATAATTTTCGTACAAGGTAACTTATTGATCTTCTTTCTTTAGTACTTCAGCTACCTATTATTTTCATTTACTAAAGGGTTTTTGTAGTTAAATAGTAACAGTGTAGTATTACATTTATTTTGTTGAGATTGCATCTTTCCCGCTAGTCCCTATCAGCAGCGTGTGCGTGCGCCCTCTGAAGAGGATTTTGGCATCAAGGCAAGAGAGAGGGGATTTTTGGGAGGTCAAGGACCAGAAATAGACGAGAGAGCATCCTCAAGATTATCGTGGTCAATTGTCTCATTTTTTTATTTTGCATTGTTAAGCACACTAAGTGTCCACTGTTCCAACCTATCAATAAACTTTATTTAAGAAAAGAAACATTGGTCTTTCGAACCAGATCACCGAGACACAGCGGTGGATAGACAACTTCTAACCTAGCGACCATGTGAGTATCCGTATAAAAGCAAATTGTACAGGAGCTGTTGTGCTCATCTATTGGACTCTAGAAGTATTTACACGGTGAATTATATGTGAGTCCGCAACCCAGCAAATGCAAAATATGATTGTTGATGAAAATGCGTACTGAGAGCAGTATCAGCACCTTCTCATAACCTTCATACCCAACGTGCTGTTGTGCACTCGTCGAGAGTAAGCTGCTCGTCTTCATGGACGTATTCTGTGATCAGTCCTCACGTTTTTTTAAATTAATGCCAATGATTCTGTGTCAGTCTAGAGAAAGAGCAAAAAAGATAGTGCAGGTTCCACTTGCGTAAGGAGTGTTGAACTTACAATGTCCTGTTTACAGGGAGGATAGAGATAGAGCCGTAATGCGAGACACTCAGACAGCTCTAGCAGATGTTGTCTCTCGATTTGTCGCCAACGTCGAGGCCATCAGGGCAACCCAGTGGACGTTCGGAAGTGTAGAAGTGTGGCTTGAACTGTTGGAAGGCTACTGGAGCAGTTTTCAGACTAGTCACCTCAAGCTCTTGAAACTTGCTCCTAAGGACGATGTGACATCTTTAACTGAGCTTTATGCGATCGCAGAGGCTCATTATATCACGGCGAAGACTTGCATTTATCATGTAAGGAATACCCTTTGTCCACCTCCAAAACCAGGCAGTTTGGGACCAGCACAAGATGTGGTCGAGCATGGTAGACGACGCCTTCCTCCAATCAACGTTCCTGTCTTCTCTGGCAAGGAACAGGATTGGGAGACGTTCCGTGATATATTTCGTGCCATCGTTCACAAGGATAAGGTCTTGACGGATATCGAAGACTGTTTTATCTTAAGTCCCTCGTGCAAGGCGATGCCGTATAGGTGTCTGGAGCAAACTACGTGACCACCTGGAGTTTGCTCGAAGCCCGCTGTGAACATGGTCGACTTTTAATACAAGACCACATTATGGCACTTCGTTGAATCAAATCGCTTCGTGATGAGTCCGCGTCTGGCCTCCAATCCTTGCTCAACACACTGGAAAAACATCGAGATCACCTGAGAGCCTTGGGCTGTCCTTTGGATTACTGGGATCACTGGCTCATATCTTTCGGCGCCTCGGGCATGGATGCTACGACCAGACGTTTCTGGGAGGACGAATTGGAGAGACTAGAGATAACTACCACAGAGCCTACAAGATTCGCTGTCACATTTATGGCGCTGACAGACTTTCTTCGGCGAAGGTGCCGTGCTCTCAGTTCCGTGGATGCATCGTGCTCCTCACGATCAACAACTTCTTCGGCAACTTCTCAAGCAGTTCTGACGTATCGTGCACTTGCCACGACTGGCATATACTCAGGGTGCCCTGCTTGTGGAAGTGACCACTACATCGGTCACTGCACTCAATTCAAGTCCCTCGCACTATGCACTCGAAAGGATCTGGTTTACAGAGAGAGGCTTTGTTTTAACTGTCTCAGGGCTGGGCACTCTGCAAGGGCCTACACATCCAAATCTGTCTGCCAGCATTGCCAACACACTTGCACCACAGCTTGTTGTATAATTCTGCTCGCGAGCAACAAGTCAGCTCACCTGATGAAATCCGGGTGACAAAACAGCCGAAACAGGATCCGACGACTAGTTCGCTCACGAACCCTGTCAGACTCAGCTCTATCTGACTAACCATTCTTCACACCGTGAACGTCCGATTGAAAGATGCTGGGGAACAAGTCGTGACTGCCAGAGAATTGCTGGATCCATGTTCCGAGATCACAGCTACTTCAACGAC